GAGACATTTAAACCAGTGCACCCACAAGGTTTCTCATGAGTACATAGTGCAGACCAGAAGTCCGTTTTAGGTCTGCACTATTTATATTTATGTCTAATAGCTGTTTAGAGATTAAGGAATACAATTGGATCTACAGATAAAAATTTGAGCCCAAGTTATATTCAGTCAAAACCATAATCTATTAGGATGGATTCCCTGAAAGAGACCAAAAAGAAAAGAAAAGAATATTTATTTTGTTACCTGAAACACACTGTGGGGGAGCAGGGAATAGCAGATAAAGATGAGCAAACTAAGAGTGAAAAAAAGAAGGTGAAATCCGCATTAAAAGGGGGAATTTAAATAAGAACAGTAGTGTGAAAGCCCTATTGTTTTCATTGATTGGAAATGCAGTGGACATTTTTGAAAATTCACTCAGTACATTTGTTAAAATGAGCGCTCATGGACTCGTGAGATCATTACGCATTCGGAAAGTAAAAATAATGAGACAGCACCTTTGCTTACTGAGACAGATAAGTGGGCTTGCAATTAGGGATCGATGGGAATCTAGATATACTTGGTTCAGTTGATCATAGAAAACATTCACTATGCCACTTCCTGCAAGAGTCAGGACTCAGAAAACAATAGAACTGTGAAGAGCCGAGAAACAGAAAAGTTGTAAAAGGACAAAGCTCGGCTTGTTTACCTCCAAGAGTACTGCTTTCTTCGAAAGCTGGTCTCTCATGAAATACTGATCTAAGAGTGCAAGCCAGGAAATTGAAAGATGTCTTAAACAGTCGAACAAAAAGCAAGTGTGGTCCATTTAGTGGTTAGGGACACTTTTCATTTTCTCGTGCTACGTAACAAAGTACCACACGCTCAGCAGCTGAAAACAGCATGCATTAATTAGCTCACGTCTCTGGGAATCAGAAGTGCTGCTGGATTTGGCTGGGTTTTCTGTTCAGGGTCTCCCAAGGCTGAAAGGATCGCTGGTTTGGCTGGTGGGGGATCTGAGGGAGCGTTTTCTCCTGTTCACCTAGTGTGTTGACTGAGCTCTGTTGAAGAACAGGGGGTGCTGATCCCTTGGTGGCTGTTGGGCCACTTGCAACTTCCAGAGGTTTCTCATTGTTCTGTGCCCAGGGGTTTGGGCAGAGCCTCCTAAGGGCTTCTCACAATACAGACTCTCAATACTTTCAGGCCTGTAGCAAATCCCTCTTTCTAAGACTTCCCTGTGTTTGAATCTCTCCATTTACCCATTCTGCTGATAGCCAAAGACCAGGTCCCCTGGATAACGCCCATCCATGTAAACTCAAAAGTTAATTGATAGCAATGATAGCAACCTTCGTACTATTACAAAATCTAGAGCATATTAGATTTCCTCTCCAAGAGATTATGCTGATAAATATTAGACAGGCAGTGAGGCACTTTATAATTCTGCCCATAACAGACCGTTTAAAGTATTATGTGCTAGTACTTATAGTTTTATTCCTTAAACTTTTGTGCTTGTATACTTTGAGAATTTTCTTAGAGTAACATTGAAATAATGTTACTCTAAGAACTATGGAAGACAAAACACTTATTTTGCTTTTCAAAACATATTTTCCTTTACATTTACTGGTCACTAAAATGATTTTATGAGTGATCATAAATCTACATGACCACTCATACCCAAAAGATAAACTTTAATAAATTGTAAGCGTTTTTTTCCCCTTCATGTGTTGTCAGGGTGTTAGCATTTTTCAGTTGTAACCAATGGCTTGCTAGTCTTTGTGATTTATATAATATAGATATTGTTCAGGAGATTTCATCTTGATTCTAGCCAAAGTCTTCAAAAATGATGGGAAGAACTTTGAGGAAGAAAAAAGGAAGAAATGAAGTTATAGTGATAAATATTGACAAAGAATTTAAGAGATGAAAGGGCAACATCACCAGAGAAATGTGCTCTTTTAATCATTAGATAGTACTTTGACATGTTTTAATCTAAGCAATGTAATCGGACATTTTATCAATTGTTCTAGTTAACAAATCCTGGATGCTTAAGTTTTGTTGTAATGGAAACTCTAAATTCCGTGGCATAGGGTTAGTCCTCTCTAACTGTGGATTCAATTCTGACCGAACAGTAGGACAGGGTACAACTGCCCCTAGGAGTGTTTGTGGCTGTACATCTTTAAGGAGCCAAAAACGTCATCATTTTTCCCAAGGAGCAACCGGTAGGTTCAAACTACTGACCTGTTATGCCACCAGGGCTCCTTCTGTTGTTATAGTATATGTAAATAACTAGATTATAATGATCACATTTTTATTAATTTGAATGTGCTAATACTATGAAAATTACTTGTTTTGTAAATGAGTCCAAAGAGGACCTGTATGTACTGACTCTAAAAACAAGTTCATATTTGTTTTTCACAAGCTGAAGCCCAATAATTGAACATCCAGTGTTGTGAGACTCAACAGTGAATATATCCAATTGTAAAAGTAGACCCAACCATCCACCTAGAACATACCTGCTTTACATACTTCACGAAACTTTGCACAGCGCTTGCCGATCTTTGATAGGAGAAAACGTTGCTGTCATAGGAAACCTCGGTGTCTTCGTCCTTTGGAGACGGGCCCAGAGAGTCTCCGTTTGGCGGAAGCTGGACATTGCCCAGCCGCACATATGCGTGCCCTCCCTCCCCCTTTGCCTCCTGCCTCACCAGGCTGCCCTGGCCATTCCCCTCTTTTAGGTGCGTTTCGGTGCCACTTGCCGCTGCAAAACTGCCGCTCCGCAGGACCATCCATATATTTATCTGTCCATGCACCTAAAATATACAGCCAAACAAAACAACCAATAATGTTGTATTGTGCCATGCTGTCTCATGGGTATATATTTTTTTCTTGATTCACCACCAATATCTCAAGCCCACTGTAATATTTTTTACATTTTTTCACAATAGAACAATGTCACCAACATATGATTGTCCCCATTTTAGATATGAGGGGATCAAGTTATTCAATAACCCGCCTAATTCTCAGAATCAGAATTCAAACCTAGTATTTATGCCCATGATGATTATGCTAAAGAACAAATAATAAAGTGTATCATATTTTATAGTAGCATTTACTTTTACTTTCTTTCATCAGAATTTGAATGTTTATGTGGGGTATTTCATATCTGGAATCCCTGTATCCATACTTTCCTTCAGAAAGTAGTATATGCATCTGTATATGAATTACAGTATAGGAACTTCACTTAATCTAACACATCCCAGACTTATTTGACTGTCAAAAAATCCCTTTTTAAAATTTGAAACCCTTTTGAAAATTTGAAAAATGGACATAAAAAGAAATGACTTTTCAACTTGCTTTATCATTTTCTTTATTTCCCAGGGAAAATGCATTGGAACAACTAGAATATTCCCAAATTCCTGACTTTTTATTTTGAAAATTATGAATTTTAAGCTCTCTTTAAAAATATTAAATGTATATTATAGATATTTCCGTCTACTTTTCAATATGAAATATTGTCTTCGGTAGTGGGTTTAATGACTCTTTTCTTCTGACTATGATGACCTGGACCATCTCTTCTAGTGACTACTGCTACTGCTTTCATAATGCCCTAGGGAAGGTGCTTGTCCTTTCGTTGCTCTGCAGAGACATAGCTCATTCCTAATATAGTCGTACCCTCTAGTGCTCAGGTGTGCTCCTGTGCTCACCTCCCAAACTGCCTTCCAGGGGTGAATGCCACACATTGGATCATTTTGCTCCGTCTTAGCCTTAAGTCATGTGGTCTATTATTCATAACATTGCCTTTTTGTAAGGGAGTTCAGAAATTTCCAATAGTATTCCAAAATAGTACGGGCACCCTTATGCTGTAGGAAAAACAGATTATTGCAGCTATTTTACTCATAAAATAAATTAAATACTTGAGGACCAAGGACTGAGAAGTTAGTGATGTTATTCACATGTAAAAGCAAGTAGAATCTAAGTCTTATGTTGTAATGTTTAGTTGTGTGCCATATGCATTTGATCCAGGAAAGTTTTTAAATAATGGTATGCACTTCCATGCCTCAAATTCCCGATCTTTTTAACTTAATATGGTTTTCTAAAACAGGACTGTCTTTATTTTAAAATCATTTTATTAGGGGCTCATACAACTCTTATCCCAATCCATACACATCAATTGTGTAAAGCGCATTTGTACATCATTCTCAAAACATTTTCTCTCCACTTAAACCCCCGACATTAGGTCCTCATTTTCCCGCCTTCCCAGCTCCCCCCTCCCTCATGAGCCCTTGATAGTTTATAAATGGGTATTTTGTCATATCTTGCCCTGTCCGACGTCTCCCTTCACCCACTTTTTGGTTGTCTGTCCCCGAGGGAGGGTCACATATAGTTCCTTGTAATTGGTTCCTTCTTTCCTACCCACTCTCCCTCTACCATCCCTGTGTCGCCACTCACACCACTGGTCCTGTAGGGCTCATCCGCCCTGGATTCCCTGTATTTTCAGTTCCTATCTCTACCAGTGTACATCCTCTGGTCTACCAGACTTGAAAGGTCGAATTCTAGTCATGGTAGTGGGAGTGGGGAGGAAACATTTAGGAACTAGAGGAAAGTTGTATTTTTCATCATTGTTACATCGCCCCCTGACTGGCTCATCTTCTCCCCAGGACTGTCTCTTTGAGAATACTTGGACTATTTGTTTAATCAATATATTGCCAAGGGAGTTGTGTTTATGGGCATTTGGTTTAGCACTTTGAACACATTTTACTCAGCAGCAAAAGATTCTCAAGCCAAATTGCTCATGCATAAAAGGGCCTAGTTTCAATTGATTTATAGATTCTTTCAGATTGGATTCCAAAGCATGATCACTAATATTCAGAGCAGAGCTCTCTGAAGTTCTAAGGCATTGATTGAATAAGATCTGTACACCAAAAAGGGCATCTCCATGTTGGCCTCGTTCCAATGCGTGCACATGCTTCTGAGCAGAGATCTTAGCCGGCCTGCGTTTGATACTAATCCATGCATTTGATGTCCACCTTTAGTTGTTACAGGGTCAGATGACACCCAAACCCGACAAGTGGGAACTTCTGCAGCTGGGTAGTGGCGGTGGCCTGAGCGAACAGCTCAGCGGGGATTGTGACGATGAAGATGGCTGTGGGGGATCTGGAAGTGGAGAAGTCAAAAGGACCCTGAAAATCACAGACTGTGAGTGCACGATTCTAACGCTAATTTAAAGAGTTGGTTTTAAAATATAATGACGATAAGTATGGTCACCATGTACATAAATAGTGGCAATGAGCTTACTTTTGGATATTCAAGATGCACATGCAGGTGGTTTTTGTCTAACTGGTTTCAAATGGAATGCCACTTTTGACTGTGAAAATCTGTGAGATCCTCCATCCTGAGACGACGAACTGAGAATGATAAAGTCTTGTAAGAAAGGTAATGCCTACGGCATGGGAATGTTAACTATTTATTGGTAACTAGTGAGACTCACGAGGGGCAAGCCCTACTACATAATCAGCTCTGCATTTTCCAATAATGCCTTGTGATTATGGAAAAAGAGATTTTGCTTCATTAACATTGATCATAGTCAAATTGAAAAGGAATTGTGTATGATGAAGTATGTTGATTACTTCTTCTTGAACTTAGCTCTTGAGAAGCTGTTTTATCAAAATATCTCTGTTCATTCATGGCAATCTGATGGCGTGATTGTGTTTTAAAAAAAGCCTTTGTGACAATATGGAATGAGTAACACATACACACACAGGCCACAAAAAAAGAATATTAAATATTGGCTTTGTTTATTATTTTCACATACATGATGAGAAACACAGGCTTTTCAAGCTGCACTGTTATGTGGATTTATTTGTTTCCTTTGTAAGTAGAAGAAAATCTGAAAACTGAAGAGGTGTGAGAGTTAACAGTACACAGAGCAACCAACTTTAAACTTCTTTAGCTCAGGGTGTTCAACGGTTAAAGTAACCATCTGGAATTTTGTAGACCTGTTAGAAACATCATCTGAAAATCTCTGAATCACACAGGCTTCCTTTAAACCTCTCTGATGTGCCTATATGAATCTAATGAAAAAGTCATTAATTTACTTTGTAACTACTTGCAGTGAATGAAGAACACTACAAAATTATCGCCAACCTTCATTTTTTTTTCTAGGATCCGTGTTGCCAAGTCAAATGTGTTTCTTAAAGAAATAAAAACACTCAATATAGTATATTTCCCTTTTAGCTATAGCAAAAAAAATTATATGCAAAATAAAAGGTATTTTATTTAAAATAAAGCTAGTTGGGAGTTAATTTCTGGAAGAACAATCGAACATGGTGTCACAGAAGTCAGTGATATAATAAAACAATCTCCTAATGCAAGCTAAATATTTCCATTTTTGTAGGAGATATTTACAAAATATCTGTTATTAGTATTGATTCAGTTTATTGGATTGGATTATTTCAGAGGGGTTTGTTTGTTTGTTTGTTTAATGGGAAATAATTCAAAAGGAGAAAAAGGATTTTCATAAGAAAACATTTTTCTTTCCTATTAAAATACCATTTTTGGAAATATGGTACTTATCTATTAGGTTCATGTTCACTTACTTTAATTCTATCTTGAGTATAAATTTAGCTGAAATTTAATTATTGGCAGGGTTTTTATAACATATAATCATTTATATCTGTATCATCAATGGTACAAAAAGTAGGAGGTAGAAATTTCCATTATCAAATCACATATGCATGGCTATGTGTATTTGTGTGTATGTATAAAATTTTAATTTTTATAATACTTTTTTACTCTCTGAAGTTGATTATAAGCCCATGAACTTCTTAGGTATTAGCAGATAACTTTTGGGGGACGGGGGTTCTTCACAAAAGAAGTAGAGGTGATTGGGAATTGTGCTAGTCTGGGTAAACTAAGGAAACAAATCCACAGAAACCCATATATGTATAAGAGAGAATTTTATAGAAAGGGTATGTGTACATTCAGAAAGCACCCTAACCCCGTCCAGTCTAAGCCCATAATTCTGACTTAGCCCATATGTCTGACACCAATCTACAAAGTCCTCCTCTATCTCGCAAAACACACACAATGACGCTGGATCAGGAGGATCACAGGCCAGTGGGTAGAAAGTCTTTGAATCCAGTGGTGGTGTCAGCATATCAGTGCTGGCAGGGGTCTCCACGCGCCTGCACCAGCACCCAGGGCTGCATCGGGGTAGGTCCATGTGGCTTCTCCTCAGGGATGTCTTGCAGGAAGTGAGCCTTGCCAGCTGAAGCAGGGAACTAGCTAAGGCAGCTGCACAGTTGTCCGACCATCCGAGAGCAAGAGACAAATGAGCCAGGTTAGCACAATACACCTTAACTATCATGAATATTCAGCCAGTAATAGTTTGGTCTCCAAACCATACTTGTCAAGATAGTAAGAATGAATTTTTAGTTCAAAATCCCGTTTTCAGTTACTTCTGAAACAGACAGGCATTGCACAGGCAACTGTCAATCACAACTGGGGGGGATTGAAGATACAGATGGTTTTCAGAATCTCTAAGTAAACATTTAAAAAAAATCACGTCTCCTATAAGTGGGTTGCCTATTACGTTTCCAACAGTTTATAGCTGATACTTTTCAACTTTAAATTAAGAAATCCTTTATGGAGCGCAAGCTGAAGTAAAGAAAGGCAAGAAAAGTAGTACAGGATCAGTTACATTTCTATTTTTATAAAGCACGACAATATTTTCCCTGTCTTTGGCTAGTTTGAAATATCGAAAAAGCATCTAAGAGACAGCTTTAGATGGTCATAATGACTTATAAACACTGAGCTCTAGGAAAGCTACCAGGGTGTCATTTGTGTTAAGAATTGGATAAACGCTATAATTCCTTCGTTCCACTGATGTTTAATCTTAAGATATTTTTTAAAATACAACATATGTAGCACAAAGGTCATTTGTCTCCTCCAAATATACTAAAATGCAGAGAAAGACACCAGCATATGTTTATAATAGTATAATATATGGTCAATGTGATTCAATTTAAATATTCTGCTCAATTTAGGCAAGGATGTATAATTTTAAATCGTTTTACTATGATCACTTGAACTGGTTTGCCTTTGTTTATATTCATTTCATGCAACCCAGAGTATATAATGTATACAATGTTACCATCAAAATACTTATGACTCTCTTAGGTATTTTTTATTTTGTATTCATCAATAGGGTTAAACAACTCACCTGCATTTCAGTTTTTAAGATGTGATATTCTTTATAACCTTTCAAAGCAATTACTAAAATGAACGGATGGTTTCTTGACTAAGTCTAGCTGTGAGCTGCATGTGCATTCTTTATTGTTGGTAGAGGCCCTTGAGTGTATGCCGAACCACCGCCTCCCAGGTACATCAGGGCCCAGCGCCGCACCATCCTCCACGTTTTACGTTGGAGTACGTCGTTGCAGCTACCGAACCAGCTCTTCTCTTGGCAGCTCTTTTTTTCACCAGTCCTCTGCCTTACCACACACTGTTTCCAGGGACAGGGACAAGTCTCTCCTGATAACGTGGCTAACGTAGGTGAAGAGAAGTCTCACCAGCCTCACGTCGAAGGGGCATTCTGGATGTTCTGTTCTTTTGGCAATCCGTGGTACTTTCCAAATTCTTCACCAGCACCCTGGTTCCAAGGCATGGAGTCTTCTTTGGCCTTCCCTATTCATTGGAAAAGATTTTTTTAGTGCTTCCTCTTTTTAAAATTTTTTAAAAAATCATTTATTGGGGGCTCGTACAATTCTTATCACAATCCATGCATACATCCATTGTGTCAAGCAGATATGTATATCTGTTGCCATCATCATTCTCAAAACATTTGCCTTCTACTTGAGCCCTTAATTTCGGCTCCTCATTTTCCCCCTCCCTGCCCACGCCCTCCTCCCTTATGAACCCTTCAGAATTCATAAATTATTATTATTTTGTCATATGTTACACTGTCCGACATCCCCCGCCCCCTCTTCTCTGCTGTCCATCCCCCAGGGAGGAGGCCATGCGCAGATTCTTGTAATCAGTTACCGCTTTTCACCCCACATTCCCTCTACCCTCCAGGCATCGCCACTCTCACCACTGGTCCTGAAGGAGTCATCTGTCCTGGATTCCCTGTGATTCCAGTTGCTATCTGTACCAATGTACATCCTCTGGTCTAGCCAGATTTGTAAGGTAGAATTGGGATGATAATAGTGGGGGGAGGAAGCACTTAAAAACTAGAGGAAAGTTATATGTTTCATCGTTGCTACCCTGCACCCTGATTGGCTCATCTCCTCCCCACAACCCTTCAGTAAGGGGGTGTCCGGTTGCCTACCGATGGGCTTTGAGTCTCCACTCTGCACTCGCCCTCACATTCACTATGGTTATGATTTTTTTTTCTTTGATGCTTGATACCTGATCCCTTGGACAGCTCGTGGTCACACATGCTGTTGTGCTTCTTCCATGTGGGCTTTTTTGCTTCTGAGCTAGATGGCTGCTTGTTTAAAGCTTCATCTCTCAGTACAATGGTTTAAAAATCTCAGTATTATAGACCCTTACTTTATATGTGTGATCCTTTGATTTTGGCTCATTTATGTAGGTATGGATATCTCTTGAGTAGCTTAGAATTTTAAAGTTGCAGTTCCCTAGGCTTTTACCTTCCCCTCCACCTTTGAAGGCCCTTCCATGACAGCTGAGATCTTTTCCAAGAGCCAAACCATGAGTATTCTAAACAGCAGTAGAAAACACCAGGTCTGTTGTTTTGAATATGTAAAGCCAACCTTATCCCACTACCACTTCATCTCCTAATAATTTAGCTATTCTTCTTATGTAGTCAACTGTTGATAGCTTCAAATGTTTGACAGCAAAGCAGAATACTACTAAAGACAGGTTGTAGCAGAACCATTTCTTATATAGTTTAAAAATCTGCATTGGAATTGTTGCAATTCTTATGTGTGATATTGTGATTTATAATGGCTGTAACTGTCACACTTTGTTTGAAATTAAAGAATATATACCCCGTGATCACATTTGCTTTGATTGCTTGCTTCAGAGTAATAATCTTAGGAAAAATGAATTAGATCATGAGTTGCTTCAGATACCAGACATTCAACAAATAATAGGGTGCTTGTAAATCCTCCAATTGCTTGAGATAATTAATTTTTGTCTATTATCATATGCATCATTGTTCGTACAATATTTTGTAGCATATTTAGCAGCTGTTATGGCTTGA